TCCTAAAAAAAAAAAAACAAAATGCTTTCATTTCTACTTTGCATTAGCAAATTTGTGCTTACCCGGCACTTTTCCACATTTAGCGTGCAAATTGCTTGTGTGGTCTCTTTGACGGTGTTCACCTCTTCGCTGCGTACCAGACGTACATGCGGATAATTGTCTTCGCCTGTTTCGATCGCAAGGCAATTGTCGCGCACCAGAAAGGCTATTTGAAATGCGTTCTCAACGGTATTCATAAAATTTTTCGGATCGATAATTAGTTGATAGTAGGGTATGGGTTGGCCGCCATTACTTTTGAACATTCGAACCAATTGTTTATGCACAATATTCAACTTTTTGGCACCCTTGTCCTGGCGCTGCAGTTTATCGACGCGCTCTGGACGTTTTTCTTCCGCCTGTAAAGAGCAACAAATAGGCCATTTTTCACAAAAGCTTAACGGTAGAATGGTGTTCTGTTAACTCAGTATAAATTTCACTACTAAAAATTCAAAATGCAATAAATTTTCTTTTCTCCGCGTGTATGCTGTCAAAGTTTCTGAATGTGCCTAAAGTAACTTATATATTTTGTGGATTATAATATGACCACCACTGTCACCGTACCTTTTGTCGCCGCAGAATTGCGTTAATATCGTTCCGGAACATAATTAACACGCTTTAATACAAAAAAAAATAAAAATATTGCGATTTTCTCACTAATTAAAATTTTTACTAATGCTAACCGCATTCATTGGAAATGTGCTACTAGATTGATTTAAAATTGTTCAAACCTTTATATCAATTTATATTGCCTTGTTAGCCACCTACCTGTTCTGCTTTCTTGCGTTGCTGTCGTTCCTTAACAATGCGTTCTTTTACCTCAACCTTATACGCGCCCAGCATTGTGGATTTCGCGCGTGCCATGCGAGCTATGGAACATGCGATCTCTGTGAAGGGCTTCCAATCATCATCGCCTTGCGTGGCGACAGTTTGGCGCTGAAAATGAAATTTGTATGAGATATTTGAAATGTGATGCAAGTACATATTTAGGACTGTGATCTTACAATGGCATTCTGATAGATTTGTTCGCTGAAAGATCCCATTAGGGAGCTCTGTTGAAAAACTTTGGACATCAGCTCGTGATTCATTTTGAGCAATTGTACATCTCGCATCACCTCACTGGTGTGCTCTGCTCGATCAGTGACGCTCCCCTCGCCATGAATCAGATCGGACCTTTTTACAACGTTAGATAGTTCATTGAGTGTATCTTCGACACTTTGTACTGTTAAGCGAGTTTCTGTGAATAGAAAATGTAATAGGTATGTAAATACATAAATATTTGCCTGCTATATTTTTGTAAGATGTTTGGCCGAATTTTAATTTTATTGAGGATCTTCGGGAATATTTAAAATCAGGTATATCTCTTTTTAGTGTCAAACAGTAGTCAGCTAACATATTTGGACTCCATTTTCCCTGGTACCAAAATGCAAAATATAATGTCAGCACCGGACGTATAGGTGATTGAGTGCCATTGTCTACAAATTTCCCTCTTTTATTTTGGCATCGCGAGATATACCAAAAGGATTATTTACTTACATACATACACTCTGGGGGCATCTTCTTACGATGTGTAGAAACCACAATCGCAAAAAATACCGTTTTAATGTCAATAATAATTTAACGTTAATTTATCAGGAGCACACTTTGGTAAACAAAATACCAGTCAATTTTTAAGGAAAACTGAGGGTGGTTGAAAAAAACAAAGTATGAGGTTTATATACGGTTAGGTAGTAGTATCTAAAAAAACAACTTAGTTTTGTTTAACAAAACCACTGTTTAATAATTATTTGTCGAATCGACTCACATGTATTTAGCACTGATTTTTTTTTTAAGTTTAATCAATCGTCAAAAAATATTCCATACGTTCTTAGTTTAATACTTTCTTAGTAAAATAAAACAAAAGTTATTCGGTTAAATATGTTGTAGTTTAAATAATGGAATTTCAATTAAAAAAAAAATGCATTTTCACGGCATGAAAACTCCAATCAGAAATAGGCTTAACATAGATACCTTGGAGACAATTTTACTTACAAAACAACTATTTAAAAATAAAACTTCTCTTAATTTTGGTGCGTCTTGTAGATAATTATAAAAATGCAAGAAGTATCTGACTAAGGAATAATCCATCCATGCCCGATTATGTCTGTATATATTTGACATATGTGTTTTATGAAAAGTACTTAGAATTGTCAGTTTTATATATAGTATTAGAAAAAACTGCCCTTAAAAATGAGAATGAAGTGACTTAAATAGTAAAAGATATTTTTGGGGAATATCATTGCAAATAGGGGGATATTTTTGAGGAATCTGGGGGAATTTGCCTCAAGAGTGGGCATCGCTGATCTAAATATCGGTATAAGGCACCCGTTTACGAAGAAAATAAAGACATCCACGAAATTTTCAAAATTCAAAACAAATTATTAGGGATTATTACCAGGATTTTAATCCCACAAGTTAGATACAATCCCAAAAGTTTTGGCTTCAAATTTTGGTTATCATATTATTGGAACTTATTCATACAAATTCACAAACTCGCTGAGTTAAACCCAATTTTAAAAATCATTTTTTTCAAATCTTGGTAGCGATTCTTATTATTTTTTTTTAATTTTGAAATTTTCGTGAATGGTTTGCGTCCAAACTAAAGGACTTTAATGTTAATAGATTTAGAGACCCCCCAATATATCGAGCCCTAATCGCCAAAATATCGTAAGCGACACTTTTTTCAAAATTTTCTTTTTGATGCAGAAATGCATCTAGATGCTCTAGGAATATTTCTGCATCAAAAAGAAAATTTTGAAAAAATGTCGCTTACGTCATTTTGGCGGTTAGGGCTCGATATGTATATATGTATATTAGTAAAAGATTGGTGCACTGCATCTGTTCCTCGCAAGTAATTCGAATAAAACTCGCACGTGTGTATGTTTTTACATCTATATATACATATGTACATACATTGTTTATGTACGTAAATATAATGTTTAAAGCAACTTTATCTTCAGTTAATTAAAGGGCGCCAGGAATTTAGTCTACTTGTTTGAAATACTCCTACTCAATATAATAGTTCATATGTACTATATATACATACATATTTATGTGCACGCCCGTTTTGCAAAAGTTTCCTCTTTGTAAATTTTAATCAATAACGCAATTTTGCAATGAGAATCCATGGTTTATCTGCGAAATCAAGAGCTGAGGATACAAAAAAAAAGGTTTTGCGCCTCAAAGTGTTCTACATGGATAACTACATAGATAGATATAAGACTCTAAAATTTTTATCTTTAGAGCGCGCCTAGCGTAGTTGACAACACTACCAATCGCTGGCTTACTCGCGAAATGGCGAGCCACCACTAGATATGTGAAAAATGCACCATTTTGAATTCAGTGGGTTTTTTGCGTTTTTTAATATTACCATTTTGTTTCATTTAGTATCAGGAAATGACTACCGCCCTTATTGATTTTAGTTATTGAAGAAAATTTATAATTTAATATTTTCTTTAAAAGGGATCATAAATAAAAATTTGTCTAAATTTGCTCAATAAAAAAAAAATGGTAGAAATCAGGCAGGTTTTGCAATTCACTTCCGAGTGAATTTCAACAAAACTCGCCTTGAATCCGTATTTTGGGATTTGTGTTTCACTTTCCGAATTTTACAGGCAGGTTCTGGAATCCGAGAGAAAGTGGAAATAAAACGCGTCAAGTAAACACAGAGGGCTGAATATTGGATTCAAGGTGAGTTTGGTTGAAATTCACTTGGGAGTGAATTGCAGAACCTGTCTGAATACTTCCAATTTGTTTGTTATTTTTTGTCGCTATTTAATAAAAATTATACACTACATCAAAACTAGCTTAATTTTTTATAGTATTAAAAAAAGTTTAACACCATATTTTTTTTTTCTTTGCAATTTTGGCGATACTCATAAGCTTGGCTCTTTTTTTTTCTGAAACTTGAGAAATATGGCTTAAAAAATGCAAATAATATTTACAGTTCCGGCAAAAAGATCGAAAACTTCCTCACAAATACTATTAAAGCACTACAAAACGTACCAAAAAAGGAAATAAAAAATAACGCAGCCTTAAACAATTTTTTTTTATTTCACTCCACCAAACTTTTGCAATTTTGGGAATTCCAATAAAAACATCGCAAAAGTTTTCGTTAGCACAAACTACTTTTAAAATAAGAAACATTTACCAAAAATTATTTCTGTTTTTTTTTTTGTACGTAAATAAAACTATTAAGTTTCAAAGTAATAAAAAAAAAATAAAAATTTTCTTACTTTAGCGCCCTATACTGTTAATAAAAAGGATAGTTGGTAAATTCAACTTACAAATCTATTAAAGGTACTATGTTAGCTTTGCAAAAATTTATATTACTTAAATATTCCAAGCACTTTTATTTTATTAAAATTTTGTTTATGGGACTGTGTGACGGTCTCTCTATAAATGTCCGTATGGCTTGTCTGTCTATACAATAGCGGGTCCAATTGCTGTCCATCAGTACGTAGAGATTCCCTCTGACGTGGCCAGGTGGCGACACCGACTTTGCGGAAGTGGGTGCTCACGTCTTAAGAACTGTTTGCTGAGCATGATTGTGTGCTCTTAGTGCGAGCACTTAGGCCTTGCCAACAACCGTTGCATTTTTATGCGCTTCACTGTTTTTAAAAAGCTCGTCATTCCATCTTTTTCGGTATCCGTCGCACTCGAGAACAGGGCCATAGATCTTACGTAAAATAGTTCATATGTACTTAAGTGTCGAAAGCCTTCTCATCCTAGTTCGGTATCGTCCAAGTTTCTTGACCATATAAAAGAACAGGCATAATGACGCTAGGGCTTTTAATGTCTTCCCAGAGAGGTTCTTTGTCCTGCCCTTGTTCAGCGCTAGACCAGCTCTTATTACACTTACCAGCTTCAAATTGAAAAATGAAATTGAAAAGTGAATCGCCTTTTTTTTAAACGCTGATGGGCACCGCCTTGCCCGCGGGCAAAAGTCTCTCTGGCCATCGTTGTTCTAAAACCTTGTTAGGTCTATAAAGGCGCAGAGAGGTCTTGCCTAATCTTAACGGAGCTGAAGGTTATGCTCAATGTTACTCTACAGAGCCGCATTAGTTTTTTTATATTTGGCATGTTTATTATTTACTCGAAAAGGAATTTTGCCCGATAGGTGGCGCAGAAATCGAAATATTTGGAAAATCCATATATATCGTGCGATTTGGTTCATATTTGGAACGTACAAATTTTAATTACATGAAGAGGAATAAATCCATAAAAATTTGCGCGATAGGTGGCCCAGGTCTGGAAATAGTACGGATTGTATTTATGGTCCGATGTGTTTAATATTTAGGAAGAAAAAACTCGAAAAAAATTTAGCCGTTAGGTGGTAATGCATTTCGATTTTTTCTCTTTTATATTTATCACTAACAAAAGCTCATCTTTAAAAACTTTCGTTTTAAATTACTTGTTTTTAAATTATTTTCGGGCCTTTCAGCCTTTTTGTTGGCGCCCATGGCTTACACAGTTTTATATTATATTCGTAATATAAAATCCCATTTCGCAGTGGATTTCCAACATTTTCAGAATTTCAAATCTCTCATTCGCACCATTGGCGGTTAATTAGAGGAAAAAAATGTTTGAGTTGCTAACAGGACGCGGAATAGCTAATTTTCGTTCAAGTGATGCATTCTTTTACCTCTTCAAGAGTTATACTATCTTGGGTTCAAATCCCCCAAAAGATACTGGCCCGCTTTACTACATTTGGTCAATACTTCTCAATGGATCCATAATTTTCATTTTACCAATAGTTTGCGTGGTTGGCTCCATCATCCAATATGCGAGACACGATATAGGAACGATGCGTTTCCTCAACGGCATACAGGCCGGTCTGAATGTACTTGGTATGCCACCAAAAATTATAATCATGGCGCTATCCTTGAATCGATTGCGCAGTATTGAACCTACATTGGCAGCTATGGATGCACGGTACAAGAAGCCAGAAGATGTAGCCCTAATACGTAGATCTGCGCTTATGGGAAACAGAATGATTTCAGCTGTTTTTATAGCGTACATGTGTTACATGTTGTTTTCATTGATGCCTAATGTGATAAAAGGTGGAGTGCCCTTTGGCTTCTGGATACCTTTCTTGGACTGGAATCGTTCCCGAATAGATTTCTTAGCGCAATCCGTGGCTGATGTGTTCTTCTTCTTTTTCTCATTATACTATCAGGCCTTAAACGATACATATGGAGCAGTGTATATCTACGTTATACGGGCGCATTTGCAGCTTTTACGCCGCCGAGTTCAACAATTGGGCACGGACGCTGAGATGAGTAGCGAAGATAAGATGGAAGAGCTCGTAGATTGCATTGTTACGCATCAGCAGATTTTAGAGTGAGTAAATGTTTTACATAGTATATGCACGAGAAAAGCAACTGCATCTGACTTTTTTATATATATTTATTAGGTTGGTAGCGGTAGTGGAACCGGTTATTTCGAAAACAATATTTACGCAATTTTTGATATTTGCTTCAATTTTGTGTGTCACTATGATAAATATATTCATTTTTGCTGATCTAAGCACACAAATCTCCGCGACAGTGTACCTGCTGTGCGTTTTACTGCAGACGTCACCATGTTGCTATTACGCCACACAATTAATGACGGAGAGCGAGAAATTGCCCGACGACATTTTTCATTGCAATTGGGTGGATCAGGATCGATGTTTTCGTAAAGCGATCATTTATTTTATGCATCACTCTCAAAGGTCAATTGAAATAAAAGCCATGAAGTTATTTACTATCAATATGGCTACGAATGTTTCAGTATGTTTTATAAGTTTCGAAAATTATTGTAAGCAAATGTAATGGATGCTATTGTCTTTTTCAGATTGCTAAATTTTCCTTTACACTATACGCTTTCATAAAGCAAATGGGAATTGGCCAAAATGCCAATGATTGATGGTAGATATATAACGGACACAAGAATATCAACACACACAGCAGTGGAAATACACATACATATGTATGTATTATCAATGCGGTTTTGGTAATTTTAAAAACTTCGAAAAGAAAAAAATTTATCTATGAATTGAATAAAATTGCACATGTAGTTTGCCCACAACTTTAGTTGAAAAAATTATATTTTAAATATTCAATAAATTGCAGGACAAAAATAGCAACAAAAGTTTCGTAAAACGATTGCCAATTTTGGCAGTTATCTTGAAAGCTCCTTCTCCGAAAGACTAATTGAAAGATTTGCTAGCGAGGAGGTCTTAGCATCTTTTAGCAACAAGTTTTCTAAAAATTAAATGAAATTTAAAAAAATATATACCGATTTCCTAAACTAACTAACTAAAAACTAAAAATTATAAAAAAATATGAAAAAAGAAAAAATTAAAAAAATTAAAGAGATACATTTCTAAAAGCTAAATAATATTTAAAATAACTTTTTTTTTAATTAAATCAAAATAAATATATTTCCCAAAAATTAAATAAAGTTAAAAAAATTAAGAAATATTTTTTTTTTAAATAATATATTGTAAAAATTAGAAGAAATCGAAAATCTAAAATTAAATGAAATTAAAAAAAAACATCCTTTTCAAAAGAATAAAATCTAAAAATTAAAAGAAAAATCAATTGAGAAGGAAAGAATTTAAGCAATAAAAGGAATAAAATAAAATAAGTTCTTAAATATTAAACTACATAAAAAACCTTTCTTTTTAAAATAACGTAATAAAAGAACTAAAAAAAGTGAATTAGAAAGAGAAAAATTAATGAGGCGTATTCTTGTTTTCGTACGAATCGAAAATCATGAAATTTTTTTATCATTTTCTATACAAAAATTTTAAATTTCAATAATTAAAAAAAATTTTTAAATTTATAATCCTTTTCAAATGAATGAAAACTAAAAAGTAAATGAAAAAAAAAATTAAATGAAAAAGAAAAAAATGTAATAGTAAAAATATGCTGTGGTGGAAAAATAACGAAATTTTTTCAAATTTTGCTTATTTTTCTTTCATTTATTTAATATTTATTATTTTGTTTTATAAAATTATCGGTCATTATCTACCATAACAATATAAATTCATATTTCAAACTTTTTGCAAAAACTATAAAAATTCTGCAAAATTGCATCTAAATTTTGAACTTTTTAATCAGATTTTTAAGAATTTTTTTGAGTATGTAGTTTTATAGCCCATTAAATTTTAGTGAAGTGTAAGTTTTAAGTTGCTAAAAAATCGCGTTGATTTTTGACAATTTTTTTAACGCTTTTTCTTTCATACAAAGTATGTTCGACAATTTTTTTTTGTATGGAAATACATTCGGAACAAAAATGATCAAAAATCAACGCGATTTTTTGGCAACTTAAAACTTGCATTCTTCTAAAATTTAATAGGCTATAACTACACACTGAAAAAAATTCTAAAAAATCTGATTACGAAGTTTATAAAAAATTATAAATATTAAATAAGCAAAAGAAAAAATGGAAAAATTTGGATAAAAGTCGTGTCGCTATTTATTTTTCCACCACTGTAAGTTTCTAAAAATTAAATTCAATTAAAAAACTATATTTTTATTTTTAAAACATAAAAATCAACTTAAAAAAGAAAAACTTAAAGTTTCTAAAAATTAATGGAAACTATTGAATAAAAAATTAAATAGAAAAAGAGAAAAATATTCCTCTGTCCGCTGACATTCAAGTGCTTTCTGTCAAAAGAGCGATGAAAGTTGGCAAGGGCGCTTTTTGTTTGGAAAACCTTTGTACCAGAACTGGGCATTTAATCTTGACCCATTTTAACAATCCCTGGATTTTGGGATTCAAAAATTCCAATCCCGGGATCACGAGATTTTTCGGGATTTTGTCATCATCACAACTTTTCACAACACAGTTTCATTGTCACCACATTTGGTTTTAGGGGATCATAATGCCCCTTAGTAAAAGAGTGCGTAGTTTGATGTTTACATATCTTTATTCTAAAATATCTGTATTACTTGTCAAAAACATTTACTCATATTTGCAGAAATCCTTTTCCAAAAGAGGCAAACAAAGTAAAATGAAGAACAAATCTGCCACACTGTAACAGCTTGTTGTGTTTTCAATTGCTACAGATTTTTCGTTATTACACAGTTCTTGCACAAAATATTTGAACAAGTACAGTTATTCAGGCATGTCCTGAAATTCACTTCCAAGGGCTCAAGTTCACTTTGAATCCAAATTTTGGTGTTCTGTATTTCTCGTGTTTCATGTCAAATGATTTTTTTTTCGATTTCAACATTTTTTCATTCTGTAAATGAATCAGTACAAATATCGGGATCCCGGAGCTGTAATCCCGGGATTTCGGGACATGGAAAAGTCTCCGAAATGTCCCGACGAATCAAGAAGTGCAAAAGTTGCACGAAATAGAGACGAGTCAATTTTGTTTGTGTTACGTATAACTTCCAGATGAGCTTAAATGAAATGCAAAACCACAAGCATTGGAAAAATTTTTTAAGGCCGGACCGTGAAAAGTTGGATTTACTCTTTTTAAGATAGTTTATCATAAAATAACATAAACGAACTGCTGATTTTCGTCATTTTAATTTCATTATATTATAACCATGATATGAGCCGTTTATTTTGAAAGGGGCATAAGTAACTTCGTACCTGTTGTGCTTAAATTGCCGGCTCCTTGTGACCGAGTGCATCTGAAAAACGCTCTATCGCCATAAACTAACGATAAAAACTTCTACATTTGGTTGATAAAGTTGAATGAATATCCCGATGCGTTAAGATACAAGTAACCCGCCATCTAATCACAAGAGGTGTGAGGTGACTTATGCCTAATTTTAGGCTTCATTTTGAATTTAACTCCCACATTTTCCATAAATTTGAACCAGTTTCATGCGTTTAATATGTATTTGTCTGAAATCGGCTATCTCTTTATATGGTGTTTCGCTTTACGGTCAACATTTTCGGAACCTATCAAGGCCATATAACGAGGTATGAGTGTAATAGTATTTTTAAACACTTTTCTAAAAAGAACACCAGCTGAAACACCGTCTTTTGGCATTTGAATAGAATAATAATAATATTAATAATAATAATAATAATAGAATGGCAGAGCTGGGTAAATGCAATTACATTACAATTACATTCCTCAGTAATTGTAATTAGGATTCAATTCCTTTAGTTCACTGCAAAGGAATCGATCACTTTTTCAATTCCTTGAAGTAATTTCAAATGGAATTGTTTTTTTCTTTAATTCCATTACAAGGGATTTCATATTGTAATTGGAATAAATTACGTGCTAGTAATGTAATTTCTTTTATTTCAATTGAAAGGAATTGAAAATGTAAATTTTTTTCCAATTCCTTTGAAAGGAATTGAAAATGTAATTGATTTTTTTTCCAATTCCATTCCTCAAAGTAATTTAATAAGTAATCGAAAAATTTATATAAAAAAAAATTTTTTACTGTTGAATTGCAATAGCTTTGTTAAATTTCCTGCTAGTATTTCATACAAAAAATTATTGCACTTTCACTTATCCCTTGCAAACTTGTTTATTTATATATCGATTTTCATCGGTAGGAGTGTTTTAACCCGCAAAACAAGCAGAGTTTGGCTAGTCTATACTAATATATATTTTGAAAGGCGTTTTTTTCTGTTCGCAAAGCTCGAGAAAGGCCGTACCGATTTTTTTGAAATTTCGGAATCTACTGCAGGCTTTCCAAGGATGGTTATAGCTAAAAAAAGTTTCGATATAGAAAGGGGGCGTGGCAGCTCCCATACAAACCGAATTTTTCAAACTGCATATATTTGTGGTAGAGGACTAGAACTGGGTATGGTGATATCTATATACATATATAAGACCAATTCCATACTCATGGAGAAAAATTTGCATGGTTGGAGAATGGCGTGTGGCACCTCACATATAAACCGAACTTTTCATATTGCATATTTCTGGAAGTGTTCATGGTAGACTGTAAGCCTTTTTAAAACTCTTTAGTTTGACACCCACATGCCAACATTGCATTTACTTTATCAATTTAACTGAGTTACAATTTCCAAATAGGTGGCAGCCCCCTCAAAAATATTTCCAACAGTTATCTTTCTCAAACCTTTTTAATTTGATACCCATATTGTAATATTTTATTTATTTCTTAAAACTCTTTAGTTTGACACCCACATGGCAATATTTAATTTTTTTTAACAATTTGACTGAGTTTAAATTTTCAAATAGGAGGCCACCCTCGTCAAAAATACTTCCGGCAGTTATCTTTCTTAAACCTCTTTAACTTAATACCCATATTGTAATAATTCATTGATTTTAAATTAATTAAATTTTAAAATAGGTGGCAACCCACCAAATTTTTGCGATATCATTGGTTCTGGTATTATACCGAATAATAAAAAAAATATTATTCAAATCGGTTCAGCCGTTCTCGGGTTTGGATGACCGTGACATACGAACACAACATTTTTATATATATATAGATATACATAGAAGATGTCCAATGTGTACTTTCGATTTTAATCTTTGACCACAACAAAAATTCCACATTGTATATTCGTGAATGAACTTTCAGTTTCTCGATTACTTTTACAATTCCTTTGAGTAATTGGAAAAACTAAAGTACTCTTGCAATTCCAGGTAATGGAATTGAAAAAAAAATCAATTACATTTTCAATTCCTTTCAAAGGAATTGGAAAAAAAATTACATTACTAGCACGTAATTTATTCCAATTACAATATGAAATTCCTTGTAATGGAATTAAAGAAAAACCCAATTACATTTGAAATTACTTCAAGGAATTGAAAAAGTAATCGATTCCTTTGCTGTGGACTGAGGGAATTGATTCCTAATTAAAATTCCTTGTAATCTGTAATTGGGAGTAATTTAATTCCTAAAGGAATCATTACGACCCAGCTCTGTAGAATGGCGCTTACACATATGTTAGTGTTTGGCCGAGCTTCTCCTCTGATTTGCGGCGTGCGCCATGATGTTGTCACACAAAGGGGAGGCATACAGTTTTACGTCGACTCCGAACGGCGATTGTATTTCTATGAGAAGCTGTTTTCAAGGCAGAAATACACTAGGAGGTTTGTCATTGCCTGCCGAGGAGACGGCTGTTAAGAAAACCACTTTTTTCTATATTTTTTGCGATGTTGATTTGATTAGGGCTTGAAGCAAGACCTAGCTCAGTGGAAGCGCGCACTGCTTACCACTACACCACAGTGGCCGCCAAAAGAATATGCTTTGAAAATTTGGGCTAGAGACTTGGCGGCGCCTTGCGACGAGCTAGATATTTATAGATAGGTACGAAGCATGTAGATTTATTAATTAAACTACGAATATCGT